GGATGAAAATGAATGCACACTCCCTGATCAGTATCCATAAGGTATCTGCTAGAAGAGCTGAGGAGACTAAAAAGAAGTGGTGCTAAAACACCAAAGCCTGCTTTGGGTGCCACCTTTTTCTGTTTAAGACATGGAAGTCAGAGAAGGAGTGGCCATGGTCTGTCTTTGGATGAGCACTTAGAGAAAGTCCTGACAGCAGTCAAATGAGACTCAGGAGTCTTGGTATAGTCCAAAGCGAAACACGTTGAGGGAAATTAAAAGACCTATGTAGGGTTGCCAACTCCAGATTTCCGGGGCAGAACCTGGGGAGAGAGTGCTGTGTGCCGAGAAACCTCAGAAGGATATAATACCATAGAACCCACTCCACCCCCCAAAGCAGTAATTTTCTCCAAGGGAAGTTAGGGAATTGATCTCTGTAGTCTGGAGATCCATTGTAATTCCAGGAGATTTCCAGGCTCCACCTGGAGGTTGGCAACTCTGCCAATGTGGTGTACTGGTTAGATGGCTGACTAGAAGCTGGGAGACCCCAATCAAGCATAGAAACCACTGGGTGACTTTAGGCCAGTCAGTCTCCAAGCCAAACTTACTTTACAGGCTTGTTGTGAGGACAGAATGGAAGAAGAAGAACAATGCACACCACCCTGAGCTCTTTGTAGGGCTGATTCAAGCCATCTGAGTGTCCTGGTGAACTTTAGGGCAGCAGCAGCATAGACCGAGGCAACCTCTTCACATCCTTGCTGCTGTCCTGCAGGGTCCGGGGTGAGGTCCAGAGGCAGCACTGCTGGAGTCCACCCTGGACCAGAGTGGCATCGGGGGTGTGTGTGTGTCTAGGATGGGCCTCCTTTCCTTGCCAGCAGTTCTCCTTCCTTCCTTGCTGCTCAGCTTGCAATAGAAGGGAGTTTGAGATCTCCCACCACACTCCTAACAGTCACTATGGGGCACTGTTTCTTGAGCACAGCTGAGTACTTCTGATTACAGCTGGAGAGAGAGGTGGAGGGATGAGGGACAAGAATGGTTGGGAGTGGGTTAGAGACAAAGGTACTGTTTAAAAACCCCTTACCCCTCTTAGCCTACTCTTGGCAGTTCTTGTCCCTTCCTCCATTCCCCAACCACAACTGGAGGGACTCAAGTATCTTTAGGAAGCACTGTCCCACCCTTTACAATCAAGATGCAGTGCTGCTTTTTAAGGATATTCAGGTCCTCTTCTGATTACATCTGGAAAAACTGAAAGAAAATGGCCAGCAGGGAAAGGACAGGATAGCCAAGAACACCAAAGGACTACTGAGGCAGAAGTGCCAAGCAGCTGCATGTACTACATGTGCCATGAACCAGCCTGGTTCTGTAGAGGAGCATGATAAAAATGTGATAGACAGATAGATGTCACCTGTTACATTCACAGTCAGACAAGAAATACTAATTCTATGAAGCTTTTGAAGAATTACATTGTGAAGAATTTAACTGAGGATTTATGAACCAGACTGCCAAATGTGGTGAAGTGCATGCCAGACTAACACTGGAAAGACCCGGATTCAAATTAGCACTTTGCAATGAAGATCACAAAATGACCTTTGGCCAGTAATTTTATCTCACCCTAGCCTACGTCATAAGGTTTTGTGAAGATAAAACAAGAGGTAGAAACCAGCTGAGTTCCTTGGATGAAGCATAGGATAAACTGGATAGATAAAACTGGGTTAGAATGGAGTTATAAGAACTATACTATAGATGCCTTTAAAATGGCTTTCAGAGTGGAATTAAATTAACTAAAGAGACAACTTGCCATGATGCAGCTGAGGTAATGGGCAACTCTACCAGAATCTAAGCCTGAAGGATGTAAAGAGGCTGGTCACAGTAGCAAACTGGCCTCTGAAGTACAGTAAGTGTTACTCTATTCTCCAAGCAAGTGCAGAAGGCCAAGATCCTAATATTTATAGGAGGCCTAGCTAAGCCAAAGACATCATCCAGCCTGCTAACTGCAAGAGTTGCACATCCCTACCTAGGGTTGCTAACTCGCCTGGAGAAAAATATACTGTTTCTTTAACAGAGGCTTAACGGGATGCTCTTCATCACCTGATGTTATTTACCTCCATGTATGAAAATCTTCAGTAGCTCATTTCCACATATTAAGACTCTATTAGAGATAGAACCTCTGCTCTTCTGCCCCCTGATGAGGACTCTACAGTTTGAGCATACAAGTCCCCAGGAGCTAAGGCTTAGATTCTGAGGATGAACCCTTGATTCAAACTCTAGAGCACCTGGCATCTTTCTGAAACTTAGAGTCTTGCAAATGCCATGTGTTTCTTCTCTAGCCAGTAAGCTCCAAAAGTTTGTCTCAAAAGACATAAGGTAAACTACAGTATTTACAAGTGCACATCCTATTTTCAGTTCTGTGGCGTTCCAAAGAGATAGATAAGATTCCCAGGGAAGTAAAGGCTTTTCTGATCCCAACAATTATCTGCAGTCTCTTAATAGCGCATCAAAACATTGCACAATGCATATGAACTCCTGGCAGAAAAGTTTCTCTCATTATTGCATTAAACTAAGCCAAATAGCCCAATTCAGTCCATATATATTCAGAATAAAGTCCCACAGATTTCATTTGGGCTTACTCCAAGGTAAAAATGGGTAGGAATGCAGTCATAAGAGTTCCTCTCAAATTTCTGCAAAGTGTTTGCTGATAAAATCTGTTGAAAACATTCTGATTTGGATGCTGGTTGTAATTTAGCTGAGATACTAAAAATTCTAGCACACCCGGTCCATTTATGGATCATTTTAATCTGGTTACTCTGATGGATACTGACAGGATTCTGGAATCTATGAGGGCCACCACCTGTCTTTAGGATTAGGATTCTTGTCCATTTTAGCTATTGAAATCATGTAAGGATCACATCTGTGAGTCCCTAACACCTATTATAAATCAACTACTGATTCAGGGCACCCTTCCCTGGATTCTAAAACAGGCTGTCATCCACCTACTACTTTTAAAAAACTTTGCTAGAGAAGAATGATGTAGATAATTTTTGCCCAGTCTCTAACTTGCCTTTCCTTGGCAAGACGATAGAGAGAGTGGTAGCAAAACAACCCCAGGTCTTCCTAGATAAATCAACTGCCCTAGACTCCTTTGTGTCTGGTTTCAGGCCAGGCTACAGGATGGAGACAGCACCTTAGCTGGCCATCTTTGTCTGCATGTAGACAAGGACTGTGCCTCTGTTTATCTTACTGGATTTATCACCGCAGTAGCCTTTGATACTGTGGATCATGCCATCTTGTTCAGGTGCTTAGAGGCTGAAGTAGAGAATAAGTGATGTGCTTGGAATTGGTTTAAATAATTCCTTATGGACAGGATGCAGAGGGCTGCTGTTGATGGTCAGTTATCAAGACTGTGGTACATGCCTTTTGGGGTTCCACAAATCCCAGTCCAACCCCCCCCCCCCATGCTATTCAGCCTCTTTGTAAAGCCCTTGGGAAAATAATTGGTGGTTTGGAATAGGCTGTTAAAAACACCCAGTTTTATATTTCTTTATCCAATTGCCTGGTAATGCTATAGAAGTCCCAAGATGGTGCCTTACTGCTGCAGTTAAATGGCATGCCTTAGATGAGAGATTTTCTGATACAGGACAGTGGGCAGAATAAAATACGGCTACCACAGGAGGCAGAGTCAACCACAAAATGGCTGCTACAGGAGGTGGAACCAACCACAAAATTGTCTGAGGTTACACATAACTCTAATAGTACCTCTTCAATATTTCAGGCAGAAGCTCTGTTTAACAGGATGCCTTTTAATCTGTACAGCCAATCAGAAGCCCTGATGGACAAGCCCTAACCTGGATAACCCAGGCAAGCCTGATCTCGTAAGATCTCGGAAGCTAAGCAGGGCTGACCCTGGCAAGTACCTGGAAGGGAGACGTCCAAGGAATACCAGGGATGAGACACAGAGGTAGGCGACAGCAAGCCACCTAGCTGAAACATCCAAGCCCCACTAAGGGTCACCAGAAGTCAACCATGACTTCCAGGCACACACACACACAATACTCACACACACAAAAGATGCCCTGATGGACGTTTGGCAGGCACTAGGAAAGGTATTGGCAGTCATCATGGCACCCACAGCCACCTTGTTGGGGACCCCTGCCTTAGACAGTTTTTTTGGTTGTTGTTTGAGACCTACTTACTGCCTTGTTTATTGGAGTCCCTTGCTGGCTGATCAAATTGTTTTTAACATTTTATAGTCTGCCTTGAGTTTCAGCAAGAAATGTCACAAATGAAAGTAAATAAAAATAAAATTTACCAATATCATTTGTGACAGAACTAATCAATCAAACAAATTATTGTTTCATCTGCTTAGTGTTCTAGAATATGCAAATAATTCAACAAATTTTATCCTAGATGACAGTTGTCTGTAATTGTCTCTTCTCAGGAATCTTTTTGTGTATAGGGTGAAAGTGGATATCGAAAAGCTAACATGGATTGTCCAAGCGGATTTACCTGCTCTTGAAAAGCGTTAGCTTGTTCTTCAAAGCCCACTGTTCTAAAATAATTCACCACATCTGTAACTGCCCAGTCAGCAGGATCAGGAGGTCTTCCATTCTCTACCAAGCTACAAAGTGAAAATGCAGGCAGATGTTAATATTTGTGTACAGAAGTACCAGATGCTGCTTCAAGTTGTGTAAACTAACTATCATTCACTGACACTACAGTCCTATGCAAACATATGTGGGAATCAGCTTCACTGAATACAGTGAGACTTACTTCTGAATAAACCAGCATAGGACTGCACTATCAAAAATGGAACAATGCCATCAAAGAAGGAAGGCTTACTTATGGTTGTGACAGCCTTTCTTCATAGACAATTTGATTCTCAAGATGGATCAGTCCAGTCATGAACCTTGAATACTTTTAAGTGTAGCCCTATACAATCTATCAATTCCCCCCCCACCCCGGTTCATCACTGTTGTCTTACCAGCAAATCAATATTTCTTTTCTGCCTCCTTGAATTAAAGTCATAAGAGGTATTCCATGAGTTGCTTTCAAAGGTGATAAAAAAGACTGGATTATCCAAATAATTGCTTATTTTACAATATATGGGGTGCCATCAAATTTCTTTCAGCAACCATCTAGAATGAACTTTGCCTGCATTCTTCAGTGTTAAGTGCAGATGATCTCATAATAGTCCTTTTTCAAGTATCTCTAAGTAGTCTTAATGGGATCTATACAGGATTTTGCAATTGTGGAATAAGTAGGATGCAGTTTACAGTCAATGTGTTAATGGAAAGGGGGGAAAGCCAAAGCTCTGTGCCAAGATAATCCAAATTGTGCATACCAAACAAATCTGAACTCTTCAGTCTGTAGACATTATACAAATCAAACTAACGTTGTGCTATTTTTAAATTCTGCATGATAATTCTGCTCTGTCAGTGATCCATATGGAGCACTGAAGCCTCTGCCTCCTGCCCACCTGAAATCTTTTTCAGAGATTTCTTTAGTCTTTGAGATTCACAAGGCGTTATCCTCTTTGGAACCATGAGAACCAGAAAGTTGGTTGTTATCGTTTTTTAAATGAAAGGCAGTACTCCTGGGGAAGGTGAATTCTGAAATCTTTACCACATTCTCTACAGCTTCTGTGTTCCTGAGGAATCACATTACAGTCCCAGCGCTGCTTATACTCCTAGGTTTGAATGGTACCCGATTCCCTTAGGAACCCTTTCAAAACCTCTAAACATAAATTCAGTTAGAAAAACTCACAGTAAAGCCAAATAGTCATTAAAGGCCGCCTTGAACCAAAAGGAAAGGTGAGGTAGAAATATTTTTAAAAATCAATAAATATAAATAAAACAGAACTTCTTCATTTTTCAAATCACAAAGTGTTGAGTCTGAAATATTACATGGGAACACAGTTTCTCCACAATTTATGCACTTAATGGAAGTGCATTGCTCAAACATTGTAAGCCTTCTTCTGTAAGGCAAAATGAACTGGAAATATACACAGACAATATCATGTTAACCAACAAACATAATGAAGACGTATTTCAAAAAGTATGCTAACTTTATTATTATTATTATTTTAAAAAGTGAAGCTTCTCATCTGTTTCTCAGTGATACACATTCTGAGAGTATCGTTTGGCACTGATTTGATTACTCACATACATATGCAATTTGGATTCCATGCTAAATATTCTTCATTAAAATTGTTCATCACTTTTTTTCCGTTGGTTGGTTTGCTTGCAAGAAATATTCTGGTCTGTTTCAGTCTTATAAGCTAACCAAATATTTCAATGCAACAGCTGAACTTGATGCTGACTCAAATCTTAGCATGTACTGCATGCATATGAAAGGGCTTCACTACTTATTTTAGTGTTGAGGACAGCTCTACGCATACACTAAGCAGGGGTCATTTTCTGCAGGAGCGCACAGGAGCGGAGCTCCAGAAATGAAGAGCCAAGGGGGCGGGCACATGCAACAAACCCCACCCCCTGCTCCCAGCAGACCTCAGTCAGAGCAAGAAGCAGCCAGGTAAAGTGCAGAGCCCCCCCCCAGTCCAAAACAGTCCAGTGGAGCCTGAGCGGTGGGTGTTGCCTTCTGACACATTTCTGGTGATGTCAGGGGATGTGGCATATGCAAATAAGTTATGCTAATGAGTTATGCTAATGAGTCCCTGCACCTCTTTTTCTACGAAATGACCCCTGACACTAAGGATGTGAACACCAGGCCCCATCTATGCATTGACCCCTCTGAATTGCAGTGAATGACAATATTAATGTTCCTATTGCCCTTTTGAGAGCTCAAGGCGCTTTAAATACACTACTCCAGTAATCCATACAGATATATATTACTTTCCGACTGTCTTATGGACAGCAGCACTATTATTGCTGTTTTGTAGACTGGATATGGGGGTGAGCAGGCTGAGGCCACTGAGAGAGATTGGCTGTGTAACTACAGCTAATGAACTGACAGCTAAAGTGACTATTTGAAGTAGGGAATTCTTGGCTTAGATTCTCAACCTCTGTCTGGGCAGGAGATTTTGATGATAGTTTTAATGCCTGTCTCCCACGGCATGTCCAGTCGCTTTTACCCCAGTTAGGTGGTTTGCCCATCTCTCTTGGCTTCCTCACTTCACCTGGATTCTGATTCTGTACAACTACAGATGGGGGAAGCAAAAGATGGGAAATTGATCTGTGTGTAAGAGCTGTTCCCTACCACTGAGATGTTTTAAAATATATTGGAGCATTGTTCAACAAAAGACCAAATCCTGAGGACCAGACTACAAATTCTGAGAAAGAATGTGGTACACTTAAGTTTGCCAACCTTCGGGTGAGTCCTATAGATCTCCTGGAATTACAACTGATTTCCAGATGACAGACATCAGTTCCTGTAAAGAGAACATCACACCCCACTAAAGTTGCCACACCATCCAAACCCCACCATCCTCAGGGTTCACTCCCAAATGTCCAAGACTTTCCCAACCCGGAGTTGGCAATCCTAGGCCGTGGTCGCACTGTCATTTTGATCGGGTTTCACCGCTGTTCCCACGCACATTTAAAATTGCTGATCAGATGCCCGCATCTGTCTCCCGCACCAAAGTGGGCTCACTCGTGCAATCCTCCTGGTTCCCTAGTGAGTTTTCCTACCCCTGGAGAACCAAGTACTTTCCAAATATTTGTGCTCTGAACCTGCAATTTCACCGATCTGGAGAGCCATCTCACACAATGATCACGATTAGGTCATCTGAACATCTTTCTCACATCTTTCTCTTTTTTTACAAGCTTCCGTCATTGTGCGCATGAGCAATCCTGCGCTGAATAAATTCAATGTATAAACACTCAAGTGCACATATAGACTCCAGCGCTCGGTTGTATGTTGCCAGTTAATTTTGTTTGCTGTTGGGGGAACGGGATCTGCAAGAACAAGGAAGTATAGCAAGTCCCAGTGGGAGCAGTAATTTGGCCATGTGCAAAGCCAATTTTTTTAAAAAAAAAAAACCAACAAGCCATGCCACCCAAGCGGCTAACAATATAGCCCTGACAGAGATTGCCCAGGGTAGCCTGATCTCATCAAATCTCAGAAGCTAAGCAGGGTAGGCCCTGCTTAGGGTTTGGTTTGGAGACCCACAAGGAAGCCTGGAGTTGTGATGCAGAGGCGGGAAATGGCAGACCGCCTCTGAATGTCTCTTGACTTAAAAACTCTACAGTTTCTCCATAAGTCAACAGCAACCTGATGGCATTATCAGCAGAATATTATTCAGCAGAATAAGTTAGGTCTGCAGAGGCATGCCAATTGAAAAGCAGGAGGTACTACAGAATCCAGGTGGCTTTGGCTGCTCAAGGGTGGCACAGTTAATAAAATCTAGAACAGAATAGACTATATTACACGGTCACTTCCCAAATCTGGTGAATCACCTATTGTTTGCCTGTAAAATTCTCTTGTACTATAAAAGTGAGTATGTAAGCTGTAAGGTAGGAATGTAATCGGTTTCTATGCTTTGAACAGGACAGGGCTGCTCTGTATCAACCCATATTCTCAATCTTGTTAATTCCAAGCAGGGACAATATACTGTAAAACTAAAAGAACTGGAATAGTCCTTCCCATAACCTGATCCCAGTCATCCTAAAACTGTACCTGAATCATCATCTTCTTCTAATGCAGCAAGAAGCTTGAGAAAGGATCTTAAGTACAAATGGGACAACAACCCCAATCCAACATGCATGCCAGCACAACTATCTTATTAGTGCTTGTGGCATTCTGTGCTCTGCATTTTTGGGTTGGTTATACAAATTAACACAAACAGAACCAGTTTGTGCAGACTGTGTAGCTAAACTGGGTATCAGTGGATGTCCAGCTAAACTGGATCATCACAAACATTCACACTTACGCAGGGATACAGTGTCACTCTTAGTTCTCTGGTAGCCTGTTAGGGCTGAGATTGTGGGCAGCAGCTGTGCAGGTGAGGTCAGAAGGAAAGCAAGATCAGCACTCATGAATGCAGAAGAAATGGCTAGGACCAGCAGTAAGCCTTTCCATCAGACAGGGAATCCCAGTTTTTCTTGGGGCTTTTATAGCAGCTTCCCACATCAGAGAGCCAATTGGTTGTGTTCATGGGTGGAGCTCTCTAAGGCTCAGAACTTCCTCTGGTCCCTGAAACAGGCTCATCTTGTCACTTCAGGGGCTTGCCACATGGGAGAGGTGTGGAATTCTCATTCCCAATGCTAAACAGTGAAGCATGCTTAAACTGATTGATTTTTAAGGTTTAGGATTACACTAGAAGAGATCCTTCTACAGAAGTGCTACAATACCACTTACACTACTACTAATTATCCAAGCATATCAGATAAAAAGGTAGTTTTGCTAATACAGTAAGTAAAGGTAAAGGTTCCCTTGCTCGAAAGCCAGTCGAATCCGACTCTAGGGTTGCGGTGCTCATCTCCGTTTCAAAGCCGAAGAGCCAGCGCTGTCCAAAGACATTTCCGTGGTCATGTGGCCGGCATGACTAAACACCAAGGCACATGGAACGCTGTTACCTTCCCACCGACGCGGTACCTATTTATCTAACTTGCAGTTTCTTGCTTTCGAACTGCTAGGTTGGCAGGAGCTGGAACTAGAGAC